TACTCACCTAATTAAATTTAAAACTCGGTATAACTTACAACAGTTGGACTTTTTAATGGTTAAAGAGTCACCAAAACATAAAGTACTATCTCGTGATTTGTAAAAATGTTTGCTTTCACCACTAACAAACAATTGTATTAGTTTCTACAAAAGGAAGCTTTTGTAGAAGCAGTGATTCTTCTGTACAATGTATGATGTGGGACGAATCGAAAGGGTTCCGAGGTGCAAATGACATTGCCTCGTGAATTTTGAAATGGACTGACAATACAATTCCAGGTAGTCAAGTAAAGGACATCACTCTTTGGACCGATATCTGCTATGGACAAAATAAAAATATAAGTGTTATAATGTGTGATTTTTTGATACTGCGTACATACCCCCAAATAAAGACGATCACTCAAAAGTTTTTACTGAAAGGGCACACACATATGGAAGCAGACAGTGTTTTATGCTTTATTTGAGAGAAACAAAAAGAAACTCTCCAATTTGGCCATTTTAACACCATGGAACTGGCAACAGCTAGTTAGGCAAACATCAGGTAAATACACAGTTCGATAAGAAATTGTCACTTAATCATCCTTTTGTAGGTAGAAAAAAGAATGTTAATGAAGATCCTGTTCTACTGTCAACATGTATTGACTCCTACAAGTCCAACAAGAACACATTGGGAAGCTCTTTTATAAGACCGATTTCAATAATCAAAATATGTATGAAGTGGACTTCATGAGGTATCGAAGACAGCAAGTAATGTTTCCAGCTCAATTAAATCAAGTCTCAGTAAACCCATTACCAATCAGAAAACATAAGTTTATTGACTTCATTACCTTACTGCCTTTTTCCGTCAGTTTGTCATGCACTTTATCAAAATTTAACACATAGCGATGTAGCCACAAACGATTACCCACAAGAAGATGAAGATGATATGGAGCCTCTTTAACAATTTTGAAACTTGTCTATAATTTTACTTTATTTAACTTTTCTTAATTTAATTATTATAATATTATAATATTTACCTGTAATAAAATAATAGTGTAGGCTGTTTAGTGTATTTGTATTGTTTATTTCGTAGAGACCTTAACATGCAATGTCACATTATTTAAAAAAGTTATTAGAGGTAAACAACACTATGTCCAACTAGACATTTAAAAAAAAATTATAAAATGAACGGTAAACTTCAGGTACATAACACTTCATAAAAGGAAAAACGATTATACACACCACAATAATAATATATTAATCTTGGTTAAATATAAGAAACATTTGAGTATTTACTGATTAAAAATTTAAAAAATGTTAAAACTGCTCTCCTGAAAAAGTAAGAAAATGGACATAGTGTCCTTTACCTCCGAGGTACGGATATATATAAAATATGTTTACATTTAAATTACCTTCAACTCTCCTTTCATTGGTAAAACTACCTGAGAAGGGTATTTTTCAAATTTCCTTATTATTGGGATTTTTCGAATGACTCAAAACGATAATTTGGAAATTACTAATGGTTTCATTGTTACGATTCTTTGACGATTATAGAAACTTACAGAACGAATAATTGTAATATCGTATCTATATTTACTAAATTTGGTAAAAATCGTACTACTTTCTATACCGGGCTTGGGCCTTTCTCCAAAGGGAAAGTTTGGAAATTGGGTATGATCCCTATGCGATAAGTAATAATCGACATACCGCGTGAGATATGTCTGATGAAAAAGTTCACTCAAGAACTCTTAGATTTAAAATTCACCTCTATCATAAGTAGATATTAAGATCGAGTTGTTAATCATAAATATCTCTTATCCCTTCCGCTAGTTTCTATTTAGTGCTATTGATTTTATAACAGAGTATTATATCTGTTGAAAAGTTATTTTTAGGTAATTATTTTTATGTTATCGAGAATCCTATACACGTCATCAAGAAATGCTATATTATTAGGTAATCCAGAAGGATTAGCGCCTGGTTGGATTTTTGGAAGAGGAGATTGTGGATACTCGGGAGGAAAGACTCTTTTAGAGATTATGGTAAGTATACTTTCTTAGTCTATAAAATAAAGCATTCTACATTAAAACGTGACACTTGACACGTGCACGTGGCACTATGCCGACTAAAAACTATATTTCAATACAGAGTCGGATATTTATCCTAAACTTTTAAATATCTAATAAAATTAGTGGCATAAAAACTTTATTCGCAACTAATAAAAATCTTAACCAAGAAAGGTGCGAAAAATACACAAATATCGGTATATTTTCGAACGATAATATTCTATGAACATTAGACAGTGAAACCCAAGTCTGAAAACAAGTTCTTAAAGTTTGGTAATTACTTGAATATTGTAAAGTAAAGAATAGCTTAAATAACGCAGAATCTCTTTATACGCAGGGAAATTGGTTCAACCAGCTATTGTTATTTATAATTGATATGATTTATTGACACACTTTTGAAAGCAAATTATCTCTAACACGAGCCAACTTTGAGCATTTAATGACATTAACCACATAAACACGTATTGTTTTCCAAATATTGAATTTTGTGTTTTCATGTTTATACATCAAGACCTTATTTAAGGAGAGATTTTAAATACTGAGGAAACATTTAAATCTTTGCTGCATAATTTTATAGATTTCTACGTCTTTGCTGTACAGAAAAGAAAATCGAGCTCATTCCTTTTTAATTCAGTGGAACATTGATTAATAAATAAACAATTTTCTCATTAAAAACTTAATATTTCCAAAATTGTATTTCCGGGTGGTCCACCATCATTATGCAAGTAGTAACAGTTCTTATGTCCAAAATTAGGATCTTATTTCTGAAAAAGAATTTAAATGAATTAATTATCTATGTGATATCTTTGAAAACATCATAATCATCATTTTGGCTTTACAACCCTGTGTGGGTCCTAGCCTCCCCAAGAATTCCCTTCCAGTCGTCCCTATCCATCGCCTTCCTCCGCCAAGCACGTATTTCCATATTTCTCATATCTTGTATCTTTGAAAACAGTTTTTAGTTTTCTAGACATAATCCTACATCACAATGGTACATGCCCATTGAGATTTCATAGGTTTAACTTTTGTACTGTAAAGTGCACATCTTCTACGAGCTGATCCAATGGGCTGATGTGAAACTCAAGTAAATCTAATTTCTGGAAGTACATTATGACTTTGATTCAGCACAGATTCTACATAATTTTCTTTCAGTTTTACCAGTTTTTCTGTCAGTCAACTATCTGCCACCCTTCGCCTAAAATTCAAGCTCGTAAATGGTACTTTCTTCAGCTTATATAAACTGTAGCTATTTACTATAACAACAATATATAAAATTCCAAAATATTCTCACCTTCCATTTCTTGCTTTTTCGGCCAACCTCATACGTTGATTTGAGTTTATCAAATTTATCCACACAATTCATACTTTTACTATACTTTTTCAATTTGGACATGGAATTTGCTTTGACGATACATCTTTATCTTTCCTTTTCACTTCGGCTTTAGTTTGTGGTTCATGGCAATTAGAGAGAAGGTGGACTATGCATTTATATTTCCACTATCATTGCTTACGTTTAGCGGCGGCCGGCCAGGTGAAGTAGGTGAAGGTGAGGTTCACCAAAAAAAAATATAATTAAATTGAGACAAATAAATAAAAAATAGAAGCAACATTATTATATCTAAATTCTGAAATCAATTATTTATTCTCTTTTAATTAATCTAAAAATTAAAAAAGACAACTAGCTTTATTAGCGGTAGGTACTTGACGGTCAAGTCCTGACCTGTATAACTAGCCGTGTAGGATTCGGGAATGGTGAATATATTATCCGTCTTCACCCACTGTTGGATGTGTACCTATTTGGTATTACTATTTTTCGAAAATTCCTCTCAGCGATATTTTGAAATTTAGTCTATTATATAGATATTTTTTATATAGTATAGTGTATAGTATAGTATTTATTAGTTTAGTTTAGTCACAGTATTAAGTTTATTTATTTAGTGCACTTTATTACTACATTTCTCTATTGTTTGTTTCGGATTTCGGATATAAAGTGTTCTCGTGGATTTCGTTTGGACAAAAATAATTTTAGACAGACATGAATCCAATTAATGACTTGATGTGTAATATATTAGAGACTCCGTTTAGGCATTAGAAAAATGAAGATAAAAGGGATGTTCTTTTACATGGTCGACCAACCAGTATTTTAAACATCTGCGGCTGATCCAGAGTGGTCGGCTGCAATCAGCACCTGACCCAGAGTGGGCGGCTGAATCGAAACTCACCAACCCGTTTTAGCAGGCGTGGTGATTTAATCGCCAAAAAAACCCTCAATGAAATGTCAAGGTCCAGAACTAAAATACCCCAGACAAACAGAACGAATGGTATCTAGGATAAGTGTCCTAAAACATGTTTTCAAGTTATTAGGGCCCTAAACTCTATACATTTTTTAACGAATTTTTAATGAGATTTGGGCGCGAAGTAAGTACCAAAACTCCTTTTGGCTCCGGCAAGCTTTCCTCAGCTTCACCACTTTTTTAGGCCACGAGCCGCCGCTGCTTACGTTATAATCGTATTCTCTTAGCTTTAAACTCTTGTCTTTTCAGTTTGAGTAAATTTTTTGATTTGCCATAACGGTATCACAAATTGAATTGGAATACCTACCAAAAGTTACCTTTAGTAACGGTAATAAGAAAGTATTATTACTAGTGATGGGAATATTCGGATTATTTTAATACTCGGATAGTAACGATTCGAGTATTTTAATCCTCGGATGATGATCCGAATAACCGAGGATTTATTTCGCATGCGCAGGCAGAATGATAACAAGAGAACGATCCGAATTACGAATTACTTCGAAGTATCGAAGTAGTCAAATCGATGTGTGAGTGATTCGATTCACATCTCACGGAATAAATTCTAACTTACAGAGTGACAGAAGTCTGTTGTTTATGAAAATCGTTTATTATTTATTCTATAATTTGTTATATTTCTTGCATAAAATTGGTACATATTCACGAAAATATGCGACCAGGTGTAAAGAAATCAGTTGTGTGGCGTTATTTTGTAAAAAATGCGGACAAAACTGTCAGTTGTAATATGTGTAAAAAACAATTTAAATATTTCGGAGGTACATCCAACTTAAAACAACATTTAGAAAGAGTTCATCCTATTTCGTATTTACAAAATGAAATAATACCTTCAAGTGATAGTAGTGCTGACGTGGTAGAGGTGAGTAAAGAAAATACTGAATCTCAGCCATGTACTTCCCAGGCTATTGTTAAAGACACCATGATTAATAGTAAAAATGTTGAGGTAATTCCTACTAAACAGTTAAAACTGTTTGGAAGTAAACAGCAAAGTAACTTGTCAGAGAAGAAAGTTAGTGAAATAGATAATGCTCTAATTAAAATGATAACAAAGGATTATCAACCCTTATCTGTAGTAGAAAATGCAGGATTTCTAGAATATTCTAAAGCTCTACAACCTCTATACACTCCGCCAAGCCGCAAAAAATTAACTTACGATTTATTACCGAAACAATATGAAGAAGCGACTTCAACTTTAATAAAAATTATTAATGATGTAAAATATATTTCCGTTACTACAGATATTTGGACATCTGATAGTAATAAAGCCTATATAACAGTAACGGCCCATTTTATTTTTAAGAGTGTCCTACGCGCACATGTTTTATCCACGAGGGAACTACCAGGTTCACATACGGGTGAAAATATATCATTAATGTTGGGTGATATTTTTCATCATTGGAAAATTGAAAATAAAATTATAGCGGTTGTTTCAGATAACGGGGCGAATATTAAAAGTGCTATTTCGAATTATTTACAAATTTTTCATTTACCATGTGTTGCTCATACATTGAATTTAATAGTGACAAAGAGTTTGACGGATGTTGCAGAATTAAATGATATATTAAAGAAATGTAGGGCACTTGTGAACCATTTTAAACATAGTAGTCTGGCATGTGATAAACTTAGATCCGTTCAAGAACAGATGGGATTACCTAATTTAAAGGTGAAACAGGAGGTTGTTACAAGATGGAATTCTTGTTTCCATATGCTACAAAGACTTTTGGAAATAAAGAACCCATTGTGTGTTGCAGTAGCAAACTTATCAAAACCACCTGAATTTCTTAATGCAGATGACTGGGAAGTTATTAATGATTGTATAAAGGTGTTAAAACAAGCAGATGATATAACAAGACTATTATCTAGTGAAAATTACCCTACAGTGTCTTTGTTAATACCAATAATTCGAGGAATACAGTTTGCGCTACAAAATACCACGGTTGTAACAAATGTTGGAGATTCTCTTAAATTAAAATTGTTACAAACAATCCACCAACGTTTGGGTAGTTTTGAGTCAAGTAAAACTATTGCCAAAGCTACATTTCTTGACCCAAGATTTAAAAAAGATGGATTCGGCAATGAAGAGAACGCCAATAATGCAGAAAAGTGGGTGACCGACGAAATTAAATTAATTCTAAGTAAAAAAACAGAGTCAACTGCTTCGCCTCAGTTGAAAACTAACTCAGATCAGACAAATCAACCCTCTACAGAAAATCTAAATATATGGACTCATTTTGACAGAAAGGTATCAGAAAAACGACATTTTTCAAATTCCACTACCACTGCCATCATTATGATCAGGCAGTATTTAGAATTGCCATTACAAGAAAGGAACAAAGACCCTTTAGAATTTTGGACAAAGCATCAAATACTTTTACCAGAATTGTATGAGTTGGCAGTGAAATATTTGTGTATTCCTGGAACTTCTGTACCGTCTGAAAGAGTCTTTTCAAAAGCAGGACAATTATCAAACTTGAGAAGAAGTAGACTTTCCCCTAAAAATTTGGATCAAATAATTTTTTTAAATTCTAACTGTTAATTAATTTTTATATTATTCGTCCCGATTCCACCGAAATACGTTTTTTTTTAATTTGACAGTATAAAAATTATTGTTGTGTTTACTATTATTTTGTGTATGAAGTTTAATTTATTTTATAATATATTATTTTATTAGTTTTTTTTTTCAAATATCATAACACCAATCACCTCAATATGTATCCTTAACCTGAAAATAATTCATTTATTATAAACTCGTTCCAATGAATGGTCAAACAACACAAAAAACGTCAGAAAACAATTGGTCAGTGCGAGTAGCTATATTTCATAGGTATCATCTATCACCTCTACTTGTGCTGATCAGTTAATTTATAAACTTGTCTGGCTTAGAACTAGATTTGATGAAACATCTTTCTTCGGTGAGAATTCGAATGTTTGTTGAAATTCGTTCATTCCTGTCCACAGTATTCGAATATCGAATACAATGTAGTATATTACACCTTATCGAATATATTTCGGTAGTCACTTCCGACTTTAGTCCAAATGTCAAATGTGTTGCTGAATTAAGCGAATATATTCGTAACTCGAATGTTATAATCGGATTATTCCGAGTATTTCAATAACCGGATAACCGAGGATTTTTAATCCGAATTATCCCATCACTAATTATTACGACTTTCGGATAAAATTACATCCTCTGCCTCAATAAGCTTTTGAAAAAGGAAAAAAAGATTTTGGCCTTATTAACAGAAGTCCGGTCCTGGCGATCGTGGTTTGTTTAGTCTAGTCCCATCTGCGGAGCTGCTGTGATCTCAGTAATGAATGTAAGTCCGCACGTCGCGAAAGCTAGAAACTGATACAAAAATAGAATAACATATAAAACATAAAAAATAAAACATACATACCATATAAATGAGTCATAACATATCCCCACTTTACCTGTTTCGAAAACACCAACGATACTCCAATATAAAAATAATTATATACTAATGACAGTAAACCGTGAGATATCAGATATCAATTTTACTTCAGTCAATTCATTAATGTCAGTGTCAAGTTTTACGTTTTGAAAAAGTTACGTTTTACAAAAGAAAAAGAAATTTAATCTTTGCAGATAAGTTAAATAGTAAACTCTTAAATATTGGGGAAATCTGCAAGAAAGACTCTAATGAGTATCAATTGTTTCGCCGAACGTTTTCGACAAAGAGAATTAATTTGGCTTCTTCAGGGCTGACAGAGTAGAAATTATAATTAGCTACTATTTATATTATCTATTAAAAAATACTAGTGATCTTACCGTAACTTATAATTGTAGAGTTAGAATGTTGAAAAACTTAGCTAGTAACAGCATACCTAGTGGTTTTTTTGTTACTAGGTAAAAAAAGTTTTTTTAACGTTGGAAATATGGTATGTACGTATGGTAGCTTTGAACTTAAAACGCAAAGGTGTACCCAAGGTTAATCGAAAAACCCAATATAACTACATTTAAAAGGAAGTAATTCTTTGAATTGTCGGCAATAACTAAATTTTTGATTGTTTGAAAGTTTAAATGCGAGGTTCTGTTTTATCAGAACGCATGCGCTGACAATTTAAGTAGTACTTTTGAATCTTTATGTCGTTAAGGTTCATTGGTAAAACAGAATGAAGTTAAATCCTTCATTCTGTGAGTAAATTTGCAACGAAGTAATTTTAGAATATTAAAGATGTAGAAAAAAAGTTAAAGATAGTTCTATTTGATGCCTTTTTACGCTAATTTATATTTCTTAAGCTATAAATATTTCAAATTAACATGTTTTAGGAACGTCGTGTGCAGTATGTAGAAGAATCCGAATACACTGAAACCGAAACTGCAGAAACAAACAAGACAAAAACGAGCAGTAAATTTAGTTTCAAAAGATTTTTCAAAAAGAAACGTGTTTTACATGATACTAGTGATACTGAAAAATCAGACGATGAATCTACTAAGTTATTAAACAATAATGTTCAAAAAGTTGATTATGAACTGTCTACTGATAGTGAAGAAAGAAAAACAAAACCAGAAGTTATATTACGGAAAGTGAACGAGATTAAAACCACTTCTGAAAAACCGTTAGAAATTGATCGAAATAATAAAAAGGAGAAACATGTTGATAAAAAGTCCGTTCAAATATATTCTGAACAAATATCTCATTCACCAGAAATGAAAAATAAAGCTGAAATAAATAATACTAAAAAAACAATAAAACCCGACTCTTCTAATGATAAGAGTAAAATTGAGACTTCTGACAAGACATCGAAATTACCAATAAATAATAAATCTACCAACAAAAACACAGGTGAAAAAAAGTTAAAACATTTGCATGAGTAGAGTCTATACTGAAGACATATTAAAATGAACTATTGGAAAAAATTACCAAATATTTGCCAAAGTTGTTCCAACAAAATGAAAGGAGAAGAACAGATTATAGTAATGTAGAAATCAATATTTAGCAATTCTTAAGAATAAATATATAATAATACCACTCATCTAATTTTATGTCGTCCGTTTTTAACAACATTAAAAATATGTTTCAATCTAAGCCTGGTTGAAACTGTTTTATCAAGCAACTGATATATAATTACCATTATGACACCATAAGTCACTCGACATTGGTTTGAACACCAACACTCTTTTTCCGACCTATTAGTTTATGACTATGGCTGATAATAAAATATATTCATCACAATCGAATTTTTTTAATCCATCCATCCCTCAATAATTATGAATTTCTTATCTAATTTTATACCACCACACACAAGATGTTTGCGATGAACACACGTTCATGAATCAAAATGTAAGTCAAAGGTAGATGATATTTTGTGAGGAAGTTTTTTTTTATTTATTGTTCGCTGCAACCAAAGGCACAGAATAATAAACAATTAGAATGCCCACTCTCCATGGAAAATTAAATACGCGCATCTCGTTCACGCAGACGTTTCGCCATGTTTTAAAGGGAACCAGTGTTGTTCAGTTCTCTGTTCTTCTTTCTTGCAGCTTCGTATAGTTTACACTGAGTTAATTAATATTTCTCCATCTATCTATCTGATGATAGATAGATGGAGGCTACTTTACCATACTTCTTCATCAGTCATTTTATAAGACCACAGATCGTAGATCATTACGACTAAAATCCATTGTCTTTTTACTTTTATACGTTGACGATCCATATTTACCGTAAAATAAAAACAAAACGAAAAAAATAATTTCGCTCCAAAGAGTATATTATCTACAAAAAAATAAATAAATAAACCGTTATGATCACCTGTAAACGGTCATCAGTTGTGATGCTAAACATTATCGTAGCTTATTTATTTGTATTAAATTAGTAACATATACCAAAAATAGATATTATGTACTTACCGTAAATCTATCAGCAAAATATAAAGATTAGAAACCAAGTTTTTCATTATATAAAAATTCTCATCAGATTACAATATTTTATACACCCTATTTTTACGGATGGCAGCAAGCCAATTGTGGATTTAACTAAACAAAAGTTAACACCGTCTACATATTGCTATATCGGTTAGAAAACTAAGAAGGCCAAGCGACTCTCATAGCTGTAGCACCACTGAAGATGAAGTTGAGCCAGCTATTTATTTCGATCTATACAATTTTGTCTTAAGTTAAAATTGTCGTCTTTTTTCCATGTACAAAAGAAAATTATACTAAATTAAAAGTTGATGTTTTATCTGGATAATAATGACGTATCTTAATAAACGTGACGTATTAAGACCACGTGTCTTAATAAAAAATAATTTCACTTACCTTCACATCCATTATTATGGTAACTCGTAAATAAGTATTTGTAGGAACTATATTTTTCAAATGTTAAAAATAACAATTAATTAAAGAGGATGCATAATATACTAAATTTATTTTTTTTTTATATAAAGAACTACTTATAATACAAAAACAATCTTATAGTATAAAAACATAAAACCAAGAATAATTCGAGTCTCCTTTCAAAATGTAATATCAATCTGATTTAACATGGCATTAATATAAAATAATTAAAATAAATTATTCATTCATAACAGGTCAGTGCATAGACTATTTATTAGATACAAGCTTTGTCAAACATTTTCTTGTTATAATGCCTAAATAATCATGTTGAGACAGAAATTATGTAGATAAATAAATATCCTTATACAATTTTCAGCTAAAATATATTTGTAAAAATAATAGATAATGGGAGTCAATCCTAAAATAAATACAACGAACAATAAAAACTGCATCGATATGCTGAATTTTGATTATTTGAGTTTATTTAATTCTCTATATAATAATAATTTTTTTAAGAGATTGTATTAAAATTAGAAAAATTGAAAATACTGTAATACAAAAAATCCTTCCAGCTAAGGGTTGATAATTATTTAAGCGGATCATTAAAAATTACCAACTATAAAAACACAATTTATTAGAAAGTAAATGTTTAACTACATGGCAGTGTTGATTTGTTTAGTTACTAGTGCTTAAAAAGCAAAACAAATTAAAATGAACTACCAAGGAACTGCCTAATTGATGGACAAATCGAATGATGTATTACAAAAGGATTGTAACGATATTCTAGTCGATTAAACATATTATTTTTGATTTTTGATCTTGAGGTTAATAATGGTAATAGTACTAATGTAATTAATTGTACTTACCATGTTTTAGATGTATAATCCATCAATTTTCACCAAGTTCAAAACAGACACAAAACCAAAAAAGGTGAATATTTAAAATATTTGATTATTTTTCAAACATGAAATTATCAGTTAATTATTAACAAGAAGGTTATTAACAAGAAGGACTGGTGACAAGAAGGTGAAGAAGTGAATCCAGTAATGACAGACTATATTTATTTTGAAATGTAAATACATCTTACGGACTGAAAATAGCAAATTTACAAAATTAATATGAAAGATGTAAATTGGAGCTATAAGGTCAGATAATAGAAGAAGTAATGCAGTTTAAATATCTAGGTCTCAAAATTACTACTAATTCTACGGAAATCCCGAAACAGAAGTGGCAGATCA